ATATTATTTGATATTTGATATTTGATATTTGATATTTGATATGCCTTGGTAAGGCCACACTTGGAATACTGCATCCAGTTTTGGTCACCACGATGTAAAAAAGATGTTGAGACTCTAGAAAAAGTACAGAGAAGAGCAACAAAGATGATTAGGGGACTGGAGGCCAAAGCATATAAGAAAAGGCTGCTGGAATTGGGTCTGTCTAGTTTAATGAAGAGAAGGACGAGGGGGGACATGATAGCAGAGTTCCAATATCTCAGGGGCATCCCCAAAGAAGAGGGAGTCAAGCTATTCTTCAAAGCGCCTGAAGGCAGGAGAAGAAGCAACGGATGGAAACTAATCAAGGAGAGAAGCAATCTAGAACTAAGGAGAAACTTCCTGACAGTTAGAACAATTAACCAGTGGAACAACCTGCCTCCAGAAGTGGTGATTGCTCCAACACTGGAAGTTTTTAAGAAGAGACTGGACAGCCATTTGTCCGAAATGGTATAGGGTTTCCTGCCTGAGCAGGGGGTTGGACTAGATGACCTCCAAGGTCCCTTCCGACTTTTTTTATTATTATTATTATTATTATTATTATTATTATTATTATTATTATTATTATTATTATTATTATTATTATTATTATTATTATTATTATTAAATGGGAGTTAGCCTCTACCACCTGAGATTTAATCTTGATTGTCCATGTTTGCTTGACTTCTTCTGTTGAGACTTTTGTGGTCAAGGGCTTGTCCCACGCTGCTTACGCTGTGGCTACTTTGATCTGCTTATCACTCCACATTCTGATGCTGCAGGCCACATGGAGCTACCGACTAGAAACCAAACAATTTTATAAATACATCAGCAACCTAAACAAGAGATGACCATCTGTGGAAGAGACTCCTGCACAAACTCTGCTTTTCTCACAGCCACATCTTGCCACTCGCCACACAGTCACCCATAACTACGTGAAAAGACCTCATCAATAGTTCTGCCCTCCTCTGAAACCAACGCCTCCTTAGCCAAACTCCTCGGTTGCAAGCAACAGGAACCAGATCTTTTGCAAGTAACGCTGAAGCCTTCCTTATTTCTAAGAGGAAGTATGTGGTCTGTTTAACCAGTGTTGTGCTACAAGATAGGCTGAACTTCCCCAAAGTCTTATTTTTGGGGTAAGCTGCCATCAGCTCTGAAGCTGCAGTTCCTTCTAAGGAGCCTTTTCACACTGTGGGACAGGGGTAAAGAGAGAGAGAATACAACATTGAAAGGAGGACACCATGGTTGACATCTGAAGACAAGGTAAGCATCAATCTTACCCGGGTAGAAGGATTCCCCCTCTGCTCATCACACAAAGAGCTCTGGCTTAGTCCAAAGACATTGGAAAAGATTTATCTCTAAAAAGAGTTCAGGGTTTATGTAATCATTTAGCGTTTTGCAAACAGTTTTGGATCTGAGGTACTTCTGTAGATGGTCCTGCAGCTCATCAAAAGCAACCAGAGATGTGGGAATGGGTTTTTTTTCCCCATCCCAATGGATTTAGGTGAAGAGAACAGAATTCTGTTCCATTCCCATCATTCCTGTAAGTCCCCACTTGTATCGGGTTAAAGGAAAAAGGATGATAACACTAGAAAGCAGAAAAGGAATGCCTCTTTTCATTGTGGACACAAAGAGATGCTATCTCCAGATACTTGCCTACATCCACACTTCTATGGGAAGACCACCAAAGACCACCTGGACCAGCTGTTCCTCTTCTGACAGCTAGGATCTGTTTACCCATCCTTCTTGAACAAGCAGGCAGTACCCAAAGAGGAGAAATCAAGCACAAAATTGTCACCTTGCTTGGTGTCCTCCCATTGGGAGAAGATTAGATTGGATTCAGAGGACACGAGGTCTGTAGTTGTGGACGATCCCTTGAGGAAACTTCACTTGGAAGAGGGCTATTGTCTGTTTAGACAAAGTTAACAAGGAAGCAGTGATAGAAATAATAAAGAGAAGATGGTCTTGCTTGGACGAAGGAAGAGTGTGTTGAATAACAGAATAACAGAGTTGGAAAGACTTCTAGTCTTTGGAAGTCTTCTAGTCCAACCGGCTGCTCAAGCCGGAAACCCTATAACATTTCAGACAAATGGTTGTCCAATCTCTTCTTAAAAACCTCCAGTGTTGGAGCACCCACAACTTCTGAAGCCAAGACAACTTTCAAAGGCCTATTCAAATGTGCTTGGAGATAGTTGACCTCTATGTTGATTGACAGCCAGTTGGGTCAAGTGGTCAAGGCATCAGGCTAGAAATCAGGAGATTGTGAGTTCTAGTCTTGCCATAGGCATAAAGCCAGCTGGGTGAAAGAGTACAGAGAAGAACAACAAAGATGATTAGGGGACTGGAGGCTAAAACATATGAGGAACGGCTGCTGGAATTGGGTATGTCTGGTTTAATGAAGAGAAGGACGAGGGGGGACATGATAGCAGTCTTCCAATATCTCAGGGGTTGCCACAACGAAGAGGGAGTCAAGCTATTCTCCAAAGCGCCTGAAGGCAGGACAAGAAACAACGGGTCAAAACTAATCAAGAAGAGAAGCAACCTAGAACTAAGGAGAAACTTCCTGACAGTTAGAACTATTAACCAGTGGAACAACCTACCTCCAGAAGCGGTGAATGCTCCAACACTGGAAGTTTTTAAGAAGAGACTGGACAGCCATTTGTCTGAAATGGTATAGGGTTTCCTGCCTAAGCAGGGGGTTGGACTAGATGACCTCCAAGGTCCCTTCCAACTTTACTATTATTATTATTATTATTATTATTATTATTATTATTATTATTATTATTATTATTACTATTACTATTACTATTACTATTACTATTACTATTACTATTACTATTATTACTATTACTTTGGGCCAGCCACTTTCTCTCAGCCCTAGGAAGGAGGCTATGGCAAACCACTTCTGAAACTTTGCCAAGAAACTGTAAGGAATTGTTTGGGAAGTCACCAGAGGTCACCGGTGACTTGAAGGCACCTTCCAAAAGAAATGGGTTTGGGGGTTTTTTTGGGTTTGGACCGAGTGGAAAAATCTCATGCTTAATTTGTGCCTAACTCAGAGCAGAAAATGTTGGGGGTGGAATGTCAAGGGGAAGGTTGCGTCGATTTCAGAGGCAGAACGTAAGACAAACACACCCACCCACACTTCGTATTACCTTTTATCAATTTTTATCATTCTCTTGAGGAAAAAACCCCTGTCAAACCTGCTTCTCAGAAGCAAAATTGGGATAAAATTTGCAGACATTGTGAACCTCCAAAATCTCTTTTGAATTGCCTTCCATGCTATTTTCGGGCTACTTCCGTACAATTGTGGGAATTCACTGACATTGTGGGAAAAATGAGCCGAAACGTTACAAATGAATTACCGAGCTGACGTTAGAATTGACTCATACAGTATGTAATTTAACACCTATTGGTGTGAAGGAGCAGGAAAACACACCCAAATAGAAAAGCGAGTGTCTTCATTTCCTTTTCTAAACTAAATCAAGAAACGCTTCAATAAACATGTTAAACCAAATAAACACACACCTCTCTTAGCAAGGCCATATCCACCCAGGATTCCAGACCAAAAGACTTTAGAGACAATTTCATTTCACAGTCTTGACTTTTAGACATTTTCTTTTTTTTCTTTTCTTTTTTCCTCTCCTATTTCCCCAAGAAAAGGAGGTAAATATTAAACCTTGGGTTTTTTTCCTTTACTGCAACATAATTTGGATTAACCCTGCACAGAGTTTTAAAAGAAATATTAAATTGGGAGAGAATTGACGGGGAAGGCAAACTAAACAAGCTTATTCGTTTAGAAATGCAGCTGTCGGGATCTCTTTGTGATTTTTAAATATCTGGTAATGGGGAAGCATGTCTGCATTGTGTTGAAAGCTCTTGCAGGATTCTAGGCACCTGATCTATTTTATGGATTTCTCAGAGATTACGGAATTCTAGAGTTGGAAGAAGACCATCTGAATGCTCAAGATTAATTCCCTACTTAATGTAGAACTCCAAATTAATGCATCTCCAATAAATACTTATCAGGTCTTGGCTCAAAAACAGCCAACAAAGGGGATTTCATCTATTCCTTTAATGGTTGACTTCCACCTGCTCTTATTTTAATTTTCCCCTCTATCATTTCATGAGAATTCTTCTGTATCAAGACCAATATTTCATCTCCTTCAAACAGGAAAAATAAAGCATAGATGTTGAACGTTTGAGGTATCCCTCAACAGATATCTCTTCTGGGTGCATTATACAGGTGTCTTATGTTCCTGAGGAGTTAGAGGGGTCTTGTTCAAAAATAGAATTTTTCAAAAGTTGGCATATGGAGAATGCATTCACCATCATTTAGGTTGTTGCAACATCACCATTAAGAGCCAACGGATGTAGTGGTCAAGGCATCAGGCTAAAATGGGAGACCTTGAGTTCTATTTACACCCTGGACACAAAGTCAGCTGGGTGACCTTGTGCCAGTCACTCTCTGTTAATCATAGGAAGGAAGCAATGGCAAACTATGTCTGAAAAAGCCAAGAAAACTACAGGGATTTGTCCAGACAGTCTCCGACAATTGGACGTGATGGACAGAAAGAAAAAGAAAGATTACAATTGTTTTATAAACCTGAACACTCCCGTGTGTATGTATGTGTAGACAGATATTGGACCACAAGTTCTCATCAACCTTTATATCTATCCTACAAAATAATAAACACCTTATTCCTATGCCAAGTTTGAAAAAATTATCTTCCAAAATAAATAAAATCTGAATTTCCATCAGTGGACAATATGATTTCATACAACGGTTCGCTGTTGCCACCATTGTGAAAACTTGACAAAAGCCAGGAGAATTTCAACATAGGCATCCTTATGCAAAGTGATAAATACTGCACAGTTACAGTATATATACTTTCCTCATTCTTCCAGAAGTTGCCATTTTTGTATTGACAAGAGAACATTTGGACTTGAACTTTTCATATGTGTTTTACCTAGTTCTGGGGGGAAAAAAGCACTTGGAAGGAAGAGAAAAACGATGGGGAATGCCATCAAAATATTGAAAACCACACCTGAAGTGAAGACTACACCTTGGCAATCAGGTATGTGTTTGTTTGTTTTAAAATTACAATCCAGAAGGACATAGGAAAGGAAGAAAAAGTATAGCAATTGAATGATAACTAGAAATATATTCCAAAAGACAACTAGTCTACAAGTTCCCATGACATCATAGTTGGCATCAATGCTTAGTAGTACATCAAATATTGGGGTCTCAGTGGCCCAGTGTTGACCTCTGCCCCAGGGTCATCTTCAGCTGGTGCTTCCAACTCATGTGTGATAGACAATTGAGTTAGAAAGCTCTTATTTTAATTCTGCACAATTCCTTCCTACACAGTTCCCTTTTTCTACCAAATAGGCCTATTTTTTAGGTTGAGTTGCTGGGATGGGGTTTCCTCTTCCGAGAAATGGCTTCTTTTTTTAAACTGGGGAGGAAGGAAAAAGCACCAAGACACTCTCTTCTTCTTCCAGTTTGAACTGGTTTCCATCCATATTCCCCTAATCCAGGGGTAGGCAACCTCGGCTCTTTTATAACTCGTGGACTTCAACTCCCAAAATTCCTGAGTCAGCTATGCTGACTTAGGAATTCTGGGAGTTGAAGTCCACGAGTCATAAAAGAGCCGAGGTTGCCTACCCCTGCCCTAATCTGTCTGCCTATCATTCTTTTGATTTGTAGCTACCAGGTTTAACATTCAACCTATAACCAACCTCACCTCTGATATGGTTTCCGGGTACATCTCTGGCCCATCAGTTTACCCCAGTTTACAGGTAGTCCTCGACTTATAACCATTTGTTTAGTTTGAAGTTACAATGGCCCTGGAAACAAGTGACCTATAACCATTTTTCACACTTATGACCCCATGGTTTTCTGATCAAAATTCTGATGCCTTGCTCAGAAAATGGAGTCAGTACGATGATGTTTTTGTTTGATAACATGGATGTTATTAGGTATGATAATTAACTGGATGAGATTTGAATCTTGTCCAATGGACTGAAATGATTTAAGGTTTGATATTATCTTGTTATCTTAAAGAGATTGATTGATGGATGGATTAGATATGTATAGGGTAGACTAATATTTTATTTTAATTAGGAGATATTAGTGGAAGAAGAAATAAACAAGAGTAAGGAACTAGAATATATCTGAAAGGGATACCTGAATTGATAATGTGTTTATTTAAAGTTAAATTTGATTATGGTAATTGTAAATTTATAAAGCTTCAAAACAGGTTTGGGATTAATAGAAATTTAAATTAGAAATGGATTATCTTAAATATATTAAGCTATTTGAGGGAAATAGAGAGGGAATATTTGATGTATTGATTTGAGTTATTCATATATGGTTTTATTTTTGGATGTTTGATTACCCCAGCACCACGGTGTGTCTTGAGCACTTTGTTCTAAGAATTAAAAAAACCAATAAAGTTTGTTTCAGAAAATGGAGTCAGGCTAAAAGACCACCCAATTTAACTTCGTTCTTTCCAGTTCTTTTGATCTTGATGACAATTCATTTATCTTTGTGTGTATCTTTCCCTAAATGTAAGCATATTTGAAAGCAGTTTTCAAATATTATAAATATGCACTTTCTACTACTGCACATATTTATGTACGGGTTCCTCCTAAATTAAGGATCTGGTATTCGATTTTTAACTGTGAATTGAACTTAAAATATACAAAAATGCAGTTTTCAGCAAATAACTCGTTCAGTTTGCATAAAGAGGTTGAGCATTTCTTGGAATGAATTATGGGGCCTATTTACTTTCCCCTCCTAGCTGATTTTCCACTAGTTAAAGCTACATTGACTTTGTATCTTGATTGCAGCTATTTATCAGTCCATCATTTTAAGTTCTAACACTAGTGCTTTTTTAAAAAAAAAAAATTCAACACTAAAGTCTGTTGATGTTTGATAAGACTATTAGAGATTGTTCTTTTAAAATATGTCTTCAGTCAACAGAACAAAGACTTTTTTTTATTTCTAATGAGATGTTTGTATTTAGTTTCCTTGGCTATTTAACTATTGAAGGCCCTTTGATACTTTCCTTCCTGTCTTTCTTGGAACATCTCCATAAACATCTAATCCATCTAACAATCTGTTGTAGCTAGTTTAGTCATGGATTGATTTATAAGATTCTACAATAGTGAGAGAGAAAAATGGCACTCTCTTCTCCCATAAGTTTTCACTATTCACGGATGTGGTGACCATAGTTTATTTTTTGTAGAAAAAGGACAGGCAGACTCTATGAACTGAGTCAAGAGTGGAATCAGCCTGGAATCGTTATGTTCCCATAAGCGATCTAACTCTAAACCCTCTTGAATTCCATTGACTCTTATCTAGCATCAATTTAGTGCTGACCTTTAATAGACTGGATTTTTGTGTATAGATGACAATCACTTAAATATGAGCCAGCAGTGTGCTGCAGCTGCCAAAAAAGCCAACTCAGTGCTGGGCTGCATTAACAGAGGGATAGAATCAAGATCACGTGAAGTATTAATACCACTTTACAATGCCTTGGTAAGGCCACACTTGGAATATTGCATTCAGTTTTGGTCACCACGATGTAAAAAAGATGCTGAGACTCTAGAAAGAGTACAGAGAAGAGCAACAAAGATGATTAGGGGACTGGAGGCTAAAACATATGAGGAACGGTTGCTGGAATTGGGTATGTCTAGTTTAATGAAGAGAAGGACGAGAGGGGACATGATAGCAGTGTTTCAATATCTCAGGGGCTGCCACAAAGAAGAGGGAGTCAAGCTATTCTCCAAAGCACCTGAGGGCAGGACAAGAAGCAATGGATGGAAACTAATCAAGGAGAGAAACAACCTAGAACTAAGGAGAAACTTCCTGACAGTTAGAACAATTAACCAGTGGAACAACCTGCCTCCAGAAGCGGTGAATGCTCCAACACTGGAAGTTTTTAAGAAAAGAC